GTATATGCATTATAAGAGAGGTGAGGAAATGACAGCGGGCAGTCTGTGCAGTAGAGGAGTGGTAAGGGTATGACAGAGGGTTGTATATGCAGTAGAGAAGTGATAAAGATATGACAGTGGGCTGTATATGCAGAATAGAAATGGTGAGGGTATGACAAAGGGCAGCATAAGCAGTAGAGGAGTGGTGAAGGTATGACAGCGGGTAGTACATGTAGTTGAGGAGTGATGAGGTTATGACAGCGGGCAGTACATAGAGTCCAGTTCTTACTTTTTTCCTGTCCCCACTGGAAATATGTTTCTTCACTTCCTGTCCCTGGGGCCAGAGTGAAACAGAGTGCCAGAGTGAAACAGTGTGTTACTGGAGCAGAAATTAAGAGGAGACCTAACAGAGGTTCTAACCCTCCGCCTACTCCATTGAAAAAGCTTTAGCAGGAGTTGGTCTTTAATTTAGAATGAAAAATTAAATAAATAGTGAAGTGACCATCTTGCAATTTGTCAGACATTGTTCATTGTAGAAGTGGCAGCAAAATTATTACTAAAAATGGGGGAGATATTGTTCAAGCCCTTTCACAGTTAAGAGCCAAGTGCTAGTCACAACATCAGCAAAAAGAGATCTGTGGAGTCTAGGACTCATCATCAATGCTGAAAATGGTTCTATACAACAATACAAGTATTCACTGTAGAGGTCTGTATAAAAGCAGATGAACCTGAATAAGACAAGGCATAATGATGCTATTAACATACAGAACAAGACCAGAAATGAAAAGACACAGACACCATAACCTTTGTGAGAATGGCATGTATTAACAAATAAAATCCTCTCACCAAATTGGAAACATAAAAATACATTTATTATTGTGTATATATAAAATAGAACCTATTGAAGGAAAACCAGAGATCATATTTTGGAATTTTGGTACCGATACTGCAGTCAGCATGACTTGATAAGAATCAAGTAGAACCAAATCTGCACTTTGCAGGCTCTTAGAAGCTATTTTTTTCCTGAGCTTTTAAAGTGGTAATCCAACAGTTTCACTTTAATTCCCCACCATCCCCTTTCCCGATAGCAAATACACATCTTTCCTTGGCTCCCTTGTAACTCCATTCGGCTGCTGAGAACTGAAGATGCTGGCCAATTGTTGCTTACACAGGACAGTGTGAGAGCACTGTGAGATTGGCCCACATTGCAATGCAAACCACATGTTCCTCAATACCTGAAAGTACCATGTATTTTCTTTATTCCATCTAGCTAACCGGAGCAGTGGTTGGAGCAATGGAGAGGTAAGTATGTGCTGCTAGGGAGGTGGGAATTAAAGCAAGCATATTGCTTTGCTCTGCATGGGCAATTCACCAGCTTGCTTTAACACACACCCCACCTGTCAGCACAGAAATCTGAGAGCTGCCATTTCTCACCTTTTTGTATAGGTGCAGGCTCGGGCTGTCATATACTGCATATCCTCACTCTGCTATTTAGTGATTCACTAGCCTAGAACACACTTGTGTATAGCAAGTGTCCCAAAACCTGATATGCACACACTTGTTTCAAGTAATTGACTCACCAAGTACTGGAGCAAGGATAATGATGACAGCCCTAGTGATTGAGGTAAAGCTATGCTGATTTCCATCATCATCATCATAATTGGGTATTCTTTGCAAAGATAATTTTTACCACATTCACTAAGCTAAGGGAAAATTCCCTTGCAAAGTGAACAGCCTATTTGCTTTTAGTAAATCAACCCCTGTGTATTTAAAATACAAGTTAGCAATGGCAGCATCTTAATTTGTGTTCAGTTAGGGCTGATTCAACGTTGAATTTCACATAGTAGCATATTAATCATGACATATTTTATAGCATATACATAATGGTGTGGATTGTGGATTGACAATTGGAAATAAAAACACAACTCACAGCTGACAACTCACCAGAGAATATAATTGGCATCAATATAGGCTAAATCAGTGATGTGGTAAGCAGCATAAAGAGATCAAGGATGTGCAGTTGCCCAAGTTAATCTCAAAGCAGTTTAATACTTTACTTTGTATTTAAAGTATTATACTAATACTGCTAGAACTATGAGGTGAGTGAAAAGCACTCACCTCATAGTTCTCCTTTAAAGTAAACCTGTTATAAGTATAATATGGCAGCTGTCATTGCTGACTTCTGGAATGAATAAATACCTGCCTGTTGTGCTGACTCTCTGGGCTTAGTATTTTTTGACCCAAAGCACTGGCCCAAAGCAAGTGTGTAAACCGTGAAAGTCATAAAAGTCCTCATAACAACCAGGAAAACTAGCATTTTCGGAGGGAGAGTTTAGCTTGTTTAACTGATAAGGAGAATGACAAACTTTATTTTCCTATCATGACATATTCCTAGGGTTGCCCAGATACTTTTCGAGTACCAGTGCAGATACTTGGCATTTTCATGAGAACTACCAGGGTTGCAGTGGTTGCAGCTGGGACCTGGCTCTGGCACTCCACCACTGTCCTGAAATCATTAGTCTGTATTTTTTTAGAAAAACTGTCACATGACAATAAACAAAAATGTATCAGTACTCGTACTTGTAAGTAGGGTTGCACAGATACCAAGTACAGTACTCGGTACAAGTACAAGTACATGTACCGATACTTTTGAGCTCCAAGACTAGACTAGAGAAAAATTCAGAAGTTAGGAGGCAGCTGTAATTTGTAAGGAGCACACGGAGCTCCTGGGATTTGTACATCTTTGTTTTAATGTATGATTTTGTTTTTATAGATATAAATAAAGGGATGCACAGATACCAGTTTTGCGAGTACGAGTACTGGTACTTGCCGATTACTTACAAGTACGAGTACTGATACATTTTTGTTTATTGTCATGTGACAGTTTTTCTAAAACAATACAGACTAATGATTTCAGGACAGTGGTGGAGCACCAGAGCCAGGTCCCAGCTGCAACCGCTGCAACCCTGGTAGTTCTCATGAAAATGCCAAGTATCTGCACTGGTACTCGAAAAGTATCTGTGCATCCCTTTATTTATATTTATAAAAACAAAATCGTACATTAAAACAGAGATTAAAACATTAAAACTCCAGCCAGAAGGGTTTAAATATTATTATTAAGGCACTTTCCTTTCTGTAGCAAACCGTAATCTATTTAGCTTGAAAGTGCGTTTTTGCAGGACTTACTTTACCCCAAAAAGGTCCCTTAATCCTCTTCTTTCCTCTGTCTTCCTGTTTATGTGACTGGGCCCCTCTGTTTCTCCCTATGGAGAAATGGTTACCAGTCACATTATCCCTACTTGTAGTCTTTAGCAGAGGGAGAAGGAAGCATGATTACATTATGGTTCCTACTGTGGGTGGGCACAGCACCAGGTCACAACCCACTCACATCAATGTTTGCCAGCAATACAGAGAAATTGCACCAAACAAGCAAACCCCCCGCCCCGCCCCCCCTGACAT